CTCTGGAGGGCCAACAACAGGGCAGAGAGGCCGAGGCCTTCCCCTGATAAATTATTTATTTATTTATTTATTTTTCGCATTTATACCCCACCCTCCCCAATGGGCTCAGGGCGGCTCACAGAGGCAAGGAAAAAAACGAGTCATAATTAAAACATATGATACATAGTAAAAACATCCAACATTAAAACAGTGGTGCTCAATCAATTATTAAGCATAAGTCCAAGATGATAAGAACATCAGACGAGCCCTGCTGGATCAAACCAATGGTCCATCTTGTCCAGATGTCTCACACAGTGGCTAACCAGTTCCTCTGGAGGTCCAACAACAGGGCATGGTGCTAAGGCCTTCATAAACACATAAGAAGAGCCCTGCTGGATCAGACCAGTGAAGGTCCATCTAGCCCAGCCTCCTGTCTCACACAGGGGCCAACCAGTTCCTCTGGAGGGCCAGCAACAGGGCAGAGAGGCCGAGGCCTTCATAACAACATCAGAGAGCCCTGCTGGATCAGACAAGCGAGAGTCCATCCAGTCCAGCATTCTGTCTCACAGTGGCCAACCAGTTCCCCTGGAGGGCCAGCCACAGGGCAGAGAAGCCGAGGCCTCCCCCGATTTTGCCTCCTAGATCTGGGATTCAGAGCATTAGTGCCTCTGAACATGGAGGTTCCCCTCAGACACCGTGGCTTGTAGCAACCGATAGACTCATCCTCCATGAATCTATCTAATCCCCTTTGAAAGCTGTTTATTCCTGTGGCCATCACAACATCCTCTGGCAGCAGTTTCCATGTTTTAATCACTCTCTGTATCAAATAGTATTTCCTTTTGTCTGTCCTGAACCTGCTGCCCATCACCTTCATTGGATGCCCTTGAGTTCCAGTCTTTTGGGAGAGGGAGAACATTTTATCTTCGTCCACTCTCTCCACCCCATGCATAATTTTATAAAGCTGTGTCATGGTCTCCCCTTAGTCATCTCTTTTTTGAACTGCAAGGTCCCAGACTCTTCAGTCTTTCTTCCTAGGGAAGGGGCTCCAACCCATAACTTTGTGTCCATATTCCTATGTCATAAGAATATCAGAAGAGCCCTCCTGGGTCGGACCCGTGGCCCCTCTAGCCCAGCGTCCTTTCTCTTACAGTGGCCAGCCATTTCCTCCGGAGGTCTGACAACAGGGCATCGAGGCTGAGGCCTTCCCCTGATTTTGCCTCCTGGCTCTGGGATTCAGAGGTTGCCTGCCTCTGAATGTGGAGGTCCCCTTTAGTCACCATAGCTAGTAGCCACTGACGGACCTTGTAATGATTTCATGTTTTGGTGTGTGTGTTTCTTTAAATGTTTAGTGTGACTGCAGTAATGTAAGGAGAGTGATAGAGGGAGATGAGTATGATGTGATTGGCTGATGACTGAGACTGTGGGAGGAGAGGTGTCTCTGAGGTGATTCTGTGTTTTAGGAGAGACAAGTGTGGAGAGTTTGGGAGAGAGTCTGTATGGCAGAAGAAGCAGTCTGAGTCTATTCTGTGTGACTAAGACAAACAGTTTAGCCTGTGTGGCTATGAGAGAGAGAGAGAGAAATGAGGCTGTCAGACTTGAGTTTTGGTGTTTGACAGACTGTGTGTGAAATACCCAGAAACCTATTTTGTTCATTTATAAATAAATCATTATTTGTTTAAACTTATCCCAGAAATCAGAACAGTCCTTCCTCAGGGCCACATAGTCCTCTGAAGTGCCCAGACAGGGTCATTCTACCAAAATAGAGAGATTTGGAGTTTTTAATTCCTGGTGGCAGCAGAAATCTACTAAGTTCATGTACACAGAAGGTGGTTTAAAGGAGAAACAGTCTCCCCAATAAGCAGGATGTCACAGACCTCTTCTCCATGAATTTGTTCAATCCCCTTTTAAAGCCGTCCGTGCCTGTGGCCATCACTGTATCCTCTGGCAGAAAGTGCCCCATTTAATCACTTGCTCTCTTCTCTGCCACAAAGCAAATCTAAGAAAGCTAAGAGAGGCTTGCCTTGGCCCGATCCCATGCATCCTTGCTTGGACTTTTATCACAAGACTGCAACCTTAATTTACTTCATATATATACTATCAGTGCTCCCTCTAAGCTGTGGACAGCGTTCGTTATTCTCACAAGTGGCACGTGTTGCAATGAGTACTAGATCAGGACCTGACATGCCTCGTTTTTAACTAACATCATTACATAGTGAATGTTCCCTCTAAGCTGAGCTAGTGTGAGCTAGCTCACAGTTTTTTAGCTTCCGGCTCACACATTTTTGTCTTAGCTCAGGAAGGAGGGCTCCAGAGCAAACTGATTTATGCAGTAGCCAAATCACTCGCTCACAATTTTAATGCCAGCAGCTCACAAAGTAGAATTTTTGCTCACAAGACTCTGCAGCTTAGAGGGAGCATTGCTCTGGAGCCATCCTTCCTGAGCTAAGACAAAAATGTGTGAGCCGGAAGCTAAAAAACTGTGAGCTAGCTCACACTAGCTCAGCTTAGAGGGAACATTCACTATGTAATGATGTTAGTTAAAAACGAGGCATGTCAGGTCCTGATCTAGTACTCATTGCAACACGTGCCACTTGTGAGAATAACGAACGCTGAATAGAGAAGCGGTTTCAGAGGGGCAGCTGTATTGGTCTGCACTAAGTTAGATTTGAGTCCCAGAGCACCTTAGGGACCAGCAAGAGTTTCAGGGTAGAAGCTTTCGAGAGTCAAAGGTCCCTTCATGTATGAATCCCGTGTCCCTGTTCAGCCCTGGGGGAGGTCTGTTGTTCTCAACTTGTGAATTAATTCAAGTTCAGCAATCTCACATTGCAGTTTCCCTTTGAAACCTCGTTCGAGGACTGCCACTCTTAGGTCAGCAATGGAGAGAGTTAATGCTGAATTGTCTTGGCTGTATCTGATGCCCGTGTCATGGTTTTCAAACTGGTCTTCGGCACTGACTCCAGGCGATGCCCCCAAATGAGCATGGGTGATTGCAGGTATGGCCCCAAACGGAAGCCAGTGGGATGTGCTACTGCCTCAGTGGCTACATCAAAAGTCTCCGGTGGGTTTATATGAGAAACTCTGACATAAAGTCACTGAACCTGCCAGGAGAAAGGCCCGTGTGCATTTCAGTGAGCTCACCCTGTGTATTTTTGCCAACCAATTAGTTCTCTAAGGCAGGGCTCGGCAAGTCCCAGGTCACCGTGGCACCTGGAAATTACATTGCAGTGCCTAGCAATGTTCCCTCTAAGCTCTTCATCATAACGTCTGGTCTGCAGTTCTCAGGGCATTAGGTTCTTCTCATTGCGTGTTCAAGTGGCGGAAGAGGAATTCACTCCTCAGCCAGTTACTTCCCCCCTATTTTGCCATAATTGTCACAGCTCACTTAGGGCAATCCCGTGGGGTTTTCAAAGCAAGAGACGTCCAGTAGAGGGAACACTGGCCTAGTATCTTCGGCAGTGTCTTCATCATAACGTCTGTTCTGCAGTTTTCAGGGCATTACGTTCTTCTCATTGCTTGTTCAAGTGGCGGAAGATGAATTCACTTCTCAACCAGTTACTTCCCCCCTATTTTGCCATAACATCACAGCTCACTTATGGCAATCCTGTGGGGTTTTCAGAGCAAGAGACGTTCAGAGGTGCTTTGCCATGGCCTGCCTCTGCATCGCAACCCTGGACTTCCTTGGGGGTCTCCCAGCCAAGCTTCTGAGATCTGACAAGCCTGGGCCATCCAGGTCAGCACAATAATTACGTACCATCGGGGGTCGTTCCCTGCAGGAGCGCACAGGAGCGGCGCTCCGGCAGTAAAGAGCCCAGGGGGCGGGCACATGCAACAAGCCCCGCCCCCTGCTCCCAGCAGCCCTCAGAGCAAGAAGCAGCCAGGTAAGCTCCAGAGCCCCCCCCC